GCTCACGTTGTTGTGCAGACGCCTCCCCCATCCATCTCCAGAACTTTCTCATCTTCCCATACTGAAATTCTGTCCCCACTACCCACACTCCCCATGCCCCTCCCCCAGCCCCTGGCACCCACCATTCTGCTTCCTGCCTCTATGAACTGGACCACTCTAGATGCCTTATGGGAGTGGAATCGTGCAGCAGTTGCCATTTGGGGCCTGGTTTATTTCACTTAGCACAGTGTCTTCAAGGTTCATTCGTGTTGTGGCACGTGTCAAGATCTCATTCCTTTCTAAGGATAAACAAAATTTCATTTTATACGCACCCCGTTTATCACATTCGGGCCACTTCTATTTGGGTCGTCGGCTATCGTGACCAATGCTGCAGTGAACGCGGGTACAACGAGCCGTCCCAATCCCTGCATTCAGCTCTTTTGGGCGCCTACCCAGCAATGGAACCACTGGGTCACGTGGAAATTCTGTTTTAAGTTTTCGGGGAACCGCCGTGCCATACTCCACAGCAGCTACGCCGTTTTACATTCCCAGGGGGTCCTCTTTCTCCACACCTTTGCCAACACTTATTCTTTGCTGGCGTTTTGGTAGCAGCCATCCCAGTGGGTGGGAAGCGGTATCTCACAGTCGTGACACCACAGTGCTCTGTATAGAGTTTCGCACATAGTGGAGGCTCATGTCGAGATCAGGAGGCTAACGAGGGCCAGACCGGATGCCGTGCTTAAAGTCACTTCTTGTATGTCATATCTTGTAATTTGTCAAATCTGCCCTTGGGTCCAGAGAACGTTCTATCCCTCACTTCCCAGTGCGTTTATCTATGGAGCAGGGGCGAGCTTCGAGGTCTTTGGGGAGGAAACCAGTGTGGCCTTCCCAAACAGAGCACCAGGCAGTGTGGCCAGAGGGGCAGATGAGAGTGGGTAGAGAGATCCCAGATGTCACTGGAATTCTGACAGCAATACCCTGAGTGACAGAGTGAGCCCTGGCCGCTCTGGGACTCAGTTTCCCCATCTCGTACACTGAGCAGATTGGATGAGAGCAGTTGTTCTCAACCTTGGCTAGATGCTACAATTGCTCAGGAAACTTAAAGATCTCCATACCCAGGGCTCATCTCGGGCCATTGTATCGGCACCTCTCATGGTGGGGCCTGGGCCTCAGAATTCTCAAGGCTCTCCCAGTGGTTCGAGGATGAGGCCGCGGATTACAGCCATGCTCCTCATACCTGCCCGAGCTGCTGGTTTACAAATGAGGGTCTCCCAGCCCCTCTGCTGGAGGTCATGGGGAATCTGCATTTCAGAGAAGCCCTCCAGGTGATTCCCGACATCAGACACGTCCTGGCAGACGGGACCAGAGCGGCACGTCTCCAGCCTTGATGTGCACACACATCGCTGCGAGTCTTGTCAAGCGTAGACTCCGATTCAGTGGGTGGGGGCGGTGGGGCTCCCGGGCGGTGCCACGCTGCCGGGCTGGGACCCACTCTGAGTGGCGAGGGACCCACCGGCCTGGAACCCTGCAGTCCTCAGTGGACCCGCGCCACGCGCGACACGTACCCCGCAGCGTCCCTGCCCAGCGTGCCTGGCTGTGGGGGTCCCTCGCTTGCTTTGCTTTCAGCCCCTCCCTTCCCTGGCCGAGTTACTGTAAATGAGCAGCGATAACGCCGGGCGGCTGGGGGCCGGCTCTGGGCAGCGTGTCCCCACTGCACCGCCACCGGGCTGTCGCTTGCACGCACCGTGGCCCCGGGAGCCTGGCTGATCAGAAGCTTCCGGTGTGAAGGCACAGCTCCTCTCCTGCAAGGCTTTTCCCAGTGACGTGTTTCAAGTACCAGTTTGGGGTCCTCAGGCTTCTGATCTTGCCAGCCTTTCACAAGCCGTTCGCTTGAATGACGACAAGTGGTCTTGATATGCTGGGTTAAAAATCTTTCAGTTGGGGCTTGTTTGTTTACGAAGCAGCATCCATTATCAGGGGTTTCCTTCCTTCTGGCATCCGGGGTGGCACCGCCAGCTGCCAGCCGCGGTGACAGCCACGTTTCGGTGTTGCTGTTGGGCTTCGCAAGTTTCGGGGGGGGTGCTGTGGGGGGCCCAGCATGTTTGAAGTGTAAGGGATAAAAGCACGCTGGAACACCTGTGCTCCCCGAGTTCTGACTCCTCGATCTCACACATCTTATTTGGAGGCTGTTACTTGGTGGCACGTTGCGAACTGAAGTCATTATCGAGAACATGTGCAGGGTGAGGTGGGTTCTCGGGGCTCCGGGCCCCCCAGGCTGCTGGGGGACCACTGCACTGACTCTGTAGAGGGGCGGCTGCAGCTTCCATCGGTCCCAGCGAGGAGCTTCCAGAGGCTGGGCTCGGCTTCAGGCGCGGCTTGCTCCAGGGCCCCAGTGTGTCTCGGCACCTGTCCGCTCTCTCGGGTTGGGTGATTCTCAGGCTTCCTCTGGGTGCACCCCCAGCAAAAATGAAGCCCTTTCCTCTCTGGCAAGCCACGGGCAGCCTCTCATCCTCCCTTCCCGGACCCGCCTGCATCTGGACCCGATTCCTGCGCAGGAAGAGCTGGCACTCAGAGGGCCCCCTGTGGGCCTCTCTCAGGCCCAGCCCTACAGCCCTGGGGTGAGTTAACTCCAGATGGGTCACAGGGATGAGAGGGGATCAGTGGACACCGGGGAACCAAGGGAAGGAGCAGGTGTGAGGACAGCGTGTAGCATCGGGGACAGCCTCGCTGTGCCACCTCCTCACAGTCAGCCGTGGCTGCGTCCTTTGTGTCCCTGTAAAACACGAGGTTTTAACTCAGACCGGGGACTCACAACCATCTTTGAGAGCTGGCACCCTCTGAGGATCTAATGAAAGGCACGGACCCATCTTTCCCCTCTCCTGGAAAACATTTGCAGTCAACAGTTGGAATCTAATTTCCAGGGGTCGCGGGACCCGCAGGGGTGCCCGGTTCAGAGTCCTGGGCCCAGGTGTTCTCCGAGGTGGCAGGTCCCAGTATTAGGGGAACACTGGGCTCCCTCCAGCACCTGCAGAATCAGCGTTTCTGGGCAAGGAGTGTCGGCATCCTGTACGGTCACAGACTCCCCACGGGATTCTGACGCAGGTGGCTCCTGGGAACGAGGCGGGACGTGTGGGTCTCCCCCAGCCCTGGCACGTGGGAAGCATTCTCACCTCCAGCAGCTAGTTCGGCTCTTAGCTAAGATGGATAAAAATCAGGCGGTAGGTGGAGAGTTTAAATAGCCCACTAGAACTACGGACTACAGGTTCATTTCTTTCATTCTTCCACAAATGTTACCTGAGTACTTGCTGGGTGTCTGGATACTGGTGGGGATCAGGCCTTACTCTAGCAGGTGGCACCCGGGCCCGAGAGACGACGCAGGGGGCCAGTGTCCCATTGGACCCACTAAAGCGTGGCCTCTCGACAGCCTGCTCGACACTTCTGGAGAATCCCTAGGATGACGGTGTCAGGCTTCTTTGTTCACTGAGTCGGAGGAGGAGCGAACTCACCCTAAAAGGCTCCCATTCTGAGGAAAGTCGTGTGTTTGCACATTTATCTTACGCTTAAAGAAGCCTCTGCCGGCGTTTACTCACTTAAAAGTGAAGCAAACACGGCTTCAGGTGTACAGGGAGTGTGTGTCGTCACTGATGTCATTGTCACTGATGTTGTCCCCAGTGGAAGTTGCACACATCAGTCATCCAACCCTGATGCCAGCGATGACGAGTCTATTAATAATGTCAAGTCTGAGCTCTGTGCGAGGGGCCGGTAAACATGGGAGCTCACTACAGTGCCTGGCACGCAGTCGGCACTCAATCAATGTGCGTACGGATTAAATAAAGAATGAATGAGTAAACGGCAATGAGCAGTGGAATATTCCAGAAGTTATTTTAAAAAACAAATGCCAGGATGTTTTAGCACTAGAGGCCAGGGCTTGGGTTGGGTCTGAGCACCCAGGCCCTCGTCTCTCCACCCTGGGGCAGGGCACGCTGGCCTGGCCTGATTGTCTCAAACCCGGCTCTGCTGACAAGAGTCAACGTTAAGGGCCAGAAAATCCTCCGTGGTGGGGGCTGTTCTGTTCACGGTGTGACATTCGGCAGTATCCCCGGCCTCTACCCACCACGTGCCAATAGCACCGCCTTCCTCGTGGTGACAACCAAAATGCCCCCATATGATGCCAAATGTCTTCTTGGGGCAAAATCACACCGAAATGAGAGCATCTCGCCTTGGGTTTTGTGTAAAGAAAGCATTCCATTACCAAAAAAGAAGGGGTTAAGACACTTGGCTTCCGGAGATGTGTTCCCAGGCGCTCCCAGGCCGAGCCCCGAGCTGGAAGTGAGGGCTGTGTCTTTCCCGCTGGGCTCTTGACTTTGGACCTCCCATCCCCTTGGGCCTGGGGCTCCGCTGTGCAAGGCTGAGAATGGACGGGCCAGCCCCCCACGGAGGGCTTCAGGCCGGGAGCCGGAAGTCCCGGGGAGGGCATCCTGTGAGAATGGCGATGGTGTCACAGCACGTGTGTGAGCTCCGAGGAAGCATGGACCCTGCTAAGTGGGCGCACACGTCACCCCATTAAACCATCAGCACCCGTCAACTGCTACGAGCCCCGTTCCTCAATTGAGGAACTTCATCTGAGAGGCTGTGTTGGTGGCCCAGGTCACCCCGCAAGTCCGCGGTGGGGACGAGAGTCTAACTCGTCGTATGACTCCAGGAGAGCACTGTCCTCCCAGAGGACTGGTCGTCTGCTCCCCTGCAGCTCCCCTGACGATGTCCCCCGGGAATCCCACGCCCAGGAGTGATGGGGGCTGGGACCCGCCCTGAATCGGGGGTGCGGGAGCTTCCGCAGCAAGGGGCCCCGCTGCATCCTTCCCAGGTGACCTCTGAGAGCTCGGTCCCCGGAGCCTCTGACGGGTGGCTCCTGAAAGTCCACTCGCTTTTTGCGGCTGATGCAGACCTTGGTCTGGGGGACGAGAGTCTGGCGCAGCCGGGGAGTTCTCCGGCTGACCTTGGGGCTTGTTCTTTCTCCTCAGGGTGTTTTTCCTGAATGTGCCGTTAGATTCCATCATTGAGCGACTGACGCTGAGAAGAATCGACCCTGTCACGGGAGAGAGGTTTGTGCCAGGCGCTGGTGGTTGGCCGGCTGAGGGCTTCTGGGGCCCGGTCCCGCGGGGGGGCCGCCGCTCTCCGTCTGGCCGGCCGATGCCACAGTGGGATTGCTCCAGGGGTCACACTGGTGACGACTGACGGAAGGGTCTAGAAAGGGGGTCCGTCCAGCTAGCTCCTTTGGGCTACGTCTGTCGACCGTCTTCGCCCGGAAGAGTCATCGGAAAATGGACGTGGGAGGTGCCGCAGCGACTGCCGTGGTGGCCTCTCCGACCCCCGCGTGGGAAGTGGCTGCAGGGCGGGTGTCGCCTGTGTGAGTCGCTGGGCCTGTGCTCGCACCACGATGCTACACACGTCTCCGTGGGAACCAGTTCGCCTCTGAGCCTTCCCTCAGTCCCAGGGGATAAATTCGGCGTTTGAGTCTGCACTCTGACCAAGTGCGGTCACGGCGTTCATGTTGAAATGCAATTTAAAGTCCCCGCAATCACAGTAGGACTCAGGACCCTTTCTCCCCTGCCCTCTGGGCTGGACTGTGGGTCACCTGCTTCCCCTCCTCTGTCATAGGTACCACCTCATGTACAAGCCACCTCCGACCATGGAAATCCAGGCCCGACTCCTGGAGAACCCAAAAGACACGGAAGAGCAAGTCAAGCTCAAAATGGACCTGTTCTATAGGAATTCGGCCGAGCTGGAGGCGTTCTACAAGCAGGCCATCACCATCAACGGGGACCAGGACCCGTACACGGTCTTCGAGTACATAGAGACTGGGATCATCAATCCCCTTCCCCAGAAAGTCTTCTGATGGGTGCAGAGCAGGGAGCACCCCCAGGGAGACGAGGTTAATCCCCACCCCCACCGTCTGGAACCTTAGCCAAGCCAATAAAGAGTGCTTTGCTGGGTGCAGTGTCGCGTGTCCTGCGGGTGAGGTGTTTTGTCGTCTGGGAGCGCAGGACCGGCGGAGCCCAGGCGGCAGTGAAGCAGAGCTCAGTGGGCGTGTCGGACCTGGGCTGAGCTGCAGCTCTGGCACCAACGTGCCGGGCGCCCCTGGGTAGGTCGCTGAGCCCTCAGAGCCTCTCTCTCCTCGCAACCAAGACGGGGATTAAAGGAGCCGATGCAGGCGGAGCTCTCAGCACGGTGCCTGGTGCACAAGAAGCCTTCGGTGAATGTAGTTAAAACACCATCTCTCGAGTAGTGCCGTTTAGTAGAACTCTCTGGAATGGCAGCACACTCTCTCTCTGTGCTGGCCAAGACGGTAGCCAGCAGCTGCAAGCGGCTAATGAGCACTTGGAACGTGGCTAGTGCAGCTGAGGAGGCGGTTTTTGATTTAATTTTCACTAAGTATAAATAGCCACGCGTGGCTAGTGGCTGCATGCTGGACAGGGTGGTTCTAGACACGCTCAGCCACTTCTTAAAACTTGCTAGAAGCCCTTAGAAGCTACGCCTTCAGGTCCCACGGAAATAGCCCCTCTGGAGCCTGCAGAGCCCACAGCGCCAGGAGTGGCCAGAGGGATAGGACAGTGACACCTTAGGCTGATGGAGCTTGTGACCCCCTTCTGGAAGCCACCCCCGTTCCCATTATTACCGTTTACCTTGTTAGGAAGGTACTTGGGTGATCCCTCGTCAACAGACGAGGACACTGAAGCCACAGAGCGTAAGTGACTGGCCTAATGTCACTTAGACGCATGGCTCGACCTGAACCCAGTGCTCTGGTGCATTCTGCCAGTGGGGCCTCAGCACGCCAGGCCAGCCTGGGCCCGAGGCTGAGAAGCTCGGGGACCCCGGGCCTGAAGGCTAAAACCCCTTCTAGCCTGGAGTAGCCCAGAGTCTCCCAGCAGAAGTCTGACCCTGGCACCGGCAATAGTAGCCAGCAGCTGGTGCCCAGCGAGCCAGGCCTCCCGGGTCTGACCCCTGCTCTGCCCCAGTCACAGGCAGGTCGAGCCCCGGGCCTGCTGCAGCCGGGCCTCCAGCGGTGGTGACCTAACCTCTGCCCTTCCTCTCTGCCGGTAGCTCAGGCACTGGGGGCCACCTCCCGAAACTCCATCAGGGGTCTCCCCTGCCCAGGCCCCACTTCTTTCCAACCCCCGGAGGGAAGACGGTGGCTACCTCCTAAGTCCCCTGACAATGGGCTCCTGCTCATTAGGCCTCCTCAGACCCCAGAGGGCCCCAGGAGGGGTCCCAGTTACAGATCGGGTTGCAAATGCTCCATGTTACACACCCAGCATGTACTTTGCCTGCTCGTATCCAGCACCCCCAGATTGGAGGAGAAGTGAACTGGAAAGGTGGCCTGGCTCGGGGACACCTCCCTAACCCCGTTCTCCCCTCTGCCTGTCACTTCAGGTACCGGAGAACGTGGTCTCACTCCTGGAACTCAGTGAAACACCATTTGGGTGTAAATTCTGAGCCAAAGACATCATAAAACATTCACGCATTTAGTTAACATAGCAGTGCTGATGTGGGCCACCGACTCTGCCCCACGCTCACGCCCACACGGTCAGCCCCTCGTCCCCCTACCCCCACCTGCAC